GTGAGAGAGAGAGAGAGAGAGAGAGAGAGAGAGAGAGAGAGAGAGAGAGTGATGGGACTTGTCACCCTCATTTCTCTTGTGTTGCTGGGGAAACTTGTTGGGCAGATTTTTGGAACGGCTTGAGAAATCAGTGCTAGACAAGAAAGCCAGTCAACGGAAACTTCTGGAGAGTGTGGGTGAGATTGAGAAGAAGCGTGGGGAAGTTCACAACTTGCTGAATGCAACATGGCCCAAGCATGATGCTGTTCTGACTCGTACTCGGGAGCTGAAGCATCTGGTGGAGAAAACGATATCATCGCAGTATGCAGGGAGGCCTGTCCATATCATTGGTGAAATAAATAACGTATTGGGGTGAGGTTAAGGCTGCTGATGGGATGTTCATAAGCAGGAAAAGGGTGTATGCGAAATAGCAACTTGGTGTGACCTTAAGGCTGCTGATGGAACAGTTGTATGGATGTAAAATTCAGCTGGTGGAGTATCCCACCCTTCCAAGCACTAAGACGTTTCGACAGTCGATGTTTGTTGGTTCCATGTTTTGCCTCGTACTGTATGTTCTGAAGGGAGCGTGCGTGTGTGTGTGCGCGCGTGTGTGTGTGGGTGCGCATGTGCGTGTGCGTGTGAGTGTGTGCATGTGCGTGTGTGCGTGTGTGTGCGTGTGTGTGCGTGTGCGTGTGTGCGTGTGCGTGTGCATGTGCGTGCATTTGTGTGTGCGTTTGTGTGTGTGTGTGTGTGTGTGCATGTGCGTGTGTGTGTGTGTGTGTAGCATGTGTGTGTCACACGAGTTTCGTACAAGCACGACACATCATACCCGCACTACTCCGACTGACTACGTCAGCACACTGTGAGCAGGATATAAAAAGCGTGGGAGGCGATTTTCCACAGCAGCAGGGTAAAACCATTCGCGTGTCCACTTGTGGTGAGGGTAAAGACGAGGCCGTTTTTTAAGACGAAGTTTTGCCAATTAAGCGAAGGTGGCGAAACGAAGTGAGGGGGGTGAGGGTGTCTCTTCAATCCACGGAGGCATCACAAACACGCAAGCATTTCCAAACCTTTCGCATTTCTCAAAAGCAGCTTACTACGCATGCATATTTCCATAATGCATACCTCAATATGTCATATAGAAAAAAATAGAGATATCTTCAGAAAGCACCATATCATTCCAACCTGGCGAGATCGTCATTAGCGACAAAAAGAGCCGATATTATTCGCGAAACAGGAAAAAGGAAGAAGAAAAAAAGAAGAAGAAAAAAGGAAAAAGAAAAAAGAAAAAGGAAAAAGAAAAAAAGAAAAGGACGAACCAAGAGAAAGGAGGGGAAGAAGGAGAGGAAGGTGGAAAGGAGAAGAGAAGAGAAGAGAGGAGAAACACCGCTCATTTTGAATCGGAAGAGGGAAGGGGGCTGCGCAACAATCCAAGTATTTCAGGGAGAGAGAGAGAGAGGCCAGTCCTCAGAACAAAAACCATGGAAAAGAAGTTCAAGCGAACTGGTGGATAAGCTCGGAAAAAACAACCGATTATACCGCACACCTCAATCCTTCGCTGTCCGCCGCCCACGTGGTTCCATACTGGGTGAGAAGGGGGGATAGGTTAGAAAGGGAAATGGGGAAGGGGGATGGGGGAAGGGGTAAACCCCGCTTCAGCTCTATCCTCCAGATCTCGCGCGCCCTGTGTCCGCGCGGACCATCTCGCCGAATTGCGGGAAGGGCGTGGCAATTCCCTAAAGCGCTTTTCTGCCCCATGCCACGTGGGGCGTCATCAGAGGGGGGGACATCTTCCATGCTCTTTGGAAGGCGAGGGGGGCGAGGGGGAGTGTGTCGAAACCAGGATGATGGATGGTTTTGAGGGCAAGGGGGGAGGTTTGTCGATGGGGAGAGGGGGGAAGGGGGTTCATGTGGTAAGGGATGGGGAAGGGAGTGGATGAAGTAGAGAAACGAGAGGAAGGAGAGGAAGGAGAGGAAGGAGAGGAACGCCAAAAAGGCGCATGACGAAGTCTCGGCTGCCGATCTATGCTCCATTGCCTCCGCTCCTTGCCACCTTCCCTAGCTAATCCGCAAATCCGCGCGCGGCACCAAGCTCAAAGAAAAGGCAGCAGCAGCATGTGAGGAAAAGAGTTATGAAGCAGACGGTGCTCGCAATCAGCACCGCGAAGCGAATAGCGGAAACGCGAAGAAAAACTTGCTCGGAGAGGCATGCAGCAAAGAGCGCGCAAGCTATGGCGAGATTCGGAAGCAGCGCGAGGAGGAGGAGGAGCAAGAAGGCAGTGTTTCGCGCGAAGGGGGATGGGCGAGGCACAGCAGGTTCGGTGGGCCGAGGTGTGCCTAGGCGCAGGGTCGCGAAGGCAAAACCGGAAGGGTGCCACTCGTCGGGGACGTTACCACTTCCTCCAACTCCTGCTGTTCCTCCTTGAGGTCCCAGTCGGCGAAGAAGTCCATACCGTCCGCCACTAAGCTCAACCCTGCCGAGCGCAAAACCGGAACGCACCGTGCTCTACTCGCTGTCTGAACACAATCACCGCACGGTGGTCCGACGAATAGAACCCCTGCATTCTGTTTTGATATAGCCGCGGTGCCTGGTTAGCAATAGGAATCTTATGGTGGAAGCTACCGTTCCTATTCACACACTTAATGCAGCAATCCCGTGGTTAGGAAAGGGCAAACAAAATAAAAAAGGAAAAAGGAAAAAAAGAAAAAAGGAAAAAGAAAAAAGGAAAAAGGAGAAAGGAGAAAGGGGAGAGATGAAGAAAGACGAAAGAAAGAAAGAAAGAAAAAAGGAAGAAAAGAAAACTAAGCCTAATGCAACAAGGGCCCTACCCAGGGGCCTATGTATCCCATACTCACATAGAAAACCAGTTTCTAAGACTTTCGTCACTATCAGAGAGCGAGTTGCTCCTACCGTCTGTATGTAGCCGGTTATTCCATACGAGGGGGACTTTATTCGAGGCGTGCGTCGGAAGAAAATTGCTTTGAACTGCCTCTTATTATCTCAATCCATGCTATGACTGAAAATAATGGAAAAAGAAAAAGGGAAAAAAAAAAAAAAAAAAAAAAAAAAAAAAAAAAAAAAGGAAAAAGAAAAAAAAAAAAACAAAGAAAAGCAAAAGAAGAAGAAGAAGAAGAAAAAAAAAAAAAGAAAAAGAAAAAAGAAAAAAAGAGATTGGCGAGGAGAGGGAGAGGGGAGAAGAGAGAGAGAGAGGGAGAGAGAAGAGAGGAGAGAGAGAAAAGAGAGTGTGTGTGTGCCTGATCGCGGAATACTGAGTCCCAGTAGCCTTCTTTCTTTTCTCTTCCCACCTGTATGCGTGTGTGTGTGTGTGTGTGTGTGTGTGTGTGTGTTGGATTTTCACCACAACAGCCTCTAATCCACCCAGATGAATAAAATCAAAATCAAAGCAGCTTTAGTCCTATTGCAGACAACAAACCACACTTGAGTTGAGTTTTCCAACAGTGAAACAGGTTTCCCTCTATAGCAAGTAACATGGAGCACAACAAATCTGTTGAAATCCAAAAAAAAAAAAAAAAAAAAAGGAAACACTTTGGCTTTCTTTGGGGTGCCCCTTTCATTTGTTCTTGCAGCTCCCCTTTTACTATGCCTCTCACGTACAAGGCTGGCGACGTTGATTGTGGTTGAGCGCCAGCTGGCCACACCCCTGTGTGCCTTAAACCACCAGTACATGGCCCCAGGCAACTGGAGAACCTGTTATGAGCGTCTCCTGAAATTTAGGAGGCCGAGCGCCATAGATAGAATTAGTCGGCGGGCGGCGGGCCTCCGAAAGGGGACCGCGGCCGATAGCTGGCACGTTTGCATGCCATGAAAGGAGCCCAGAGTAAATGAGGAGGTATAATTCATTTTTCTCCAGATCATCAGCTTATATTTGGTGTGCTCTCTTAACGATGCTCATTTGTATACGTTTACCAGTAGTACACAAGGGGAGGGAAGAAGGGAAGGGGTAGGAGGCCGATTTCTATAGGGAGCGAGGGGCAGGGGAGGGAGGAAGGGGTAGGGAAGAAAGTGGAGTGGCAAAGGACAGAACAGAGAGACGACGAACTTCACTGGGTTCTAAATACGCACTGCTTGGGTTGCAGAAGATTCCGAAGTGAGGAGCGGTTGTTGCCTATGGTAAGTGGCCACCCCTACGAACTGGACGGGACCAGTCGGGTGTGAACTATGGAAGCAACACATCCAATTCCTGCAGTTGCAGTTGCCGCATCGAACGGCGTGGCGTAGACAGATATCACAGGCAATGTGACTCCTACACGCTAGGAACACAGAGGCACGCCGACAGCAACTGTAAGGGCATATTGCCATTCCAGCCCCTCTCTGCAAATTGGACATGACACGTCATGGTGCCGTACATGAGTGCTGTATTGACCGCCGTCATGCGTATGAAGCCAAGAACTCGCATGGGCTATCCCTTCATAATCCTCACGGCCCAAGGCATGCGAACCATATGCTAAAAGACAATTTAACACTTTGTGGTGTCTAATTAGTTTGGTATTAGGTAAGAACCTAGGCTACCAGCTGGGCCGCCAGGGTCCCGGGTGGCCAGCCCGTGCAAGGACCAGGGAAGGTCCCAGCMAAAAAAAAAAAAAAAAAAACCAAAAAAACTCAAAAAAATCCGAAAGAAAACTATGTTATGCAGAAAAATAAACTGAACAAGTTTTGCCTCAGGGTCAGCATCGAAATTCTGCACCAAAGTTAGATTAAAAAAAAATTAAGATTTTTTTTTTTTTTTTTTTGGTAATTGTTTTTGGCCCGGTCGGGCAAGTGACCCCGGGCCACTCTGGTAGCATAGGTAAGAACCTGATTTGTAATAGGATGGAGATCAAGGTCGTTCATAAT